TTGACAGAAAGACAGGACTTCGGTATTCGTAAGCCGAGCTTTTTGTTTGTGTTGAAAGGTCATCCGAGGCCTCACACTTTGTACTATACAGACAACTGTTACGAGTAGTTAGACGTCGAAATGTGGACGAAACCTAAAATGTTCCCAACACCACTACTACACGACATCCTACTAGTATCTCACACCAAACACGCTGTATGATTGTATACGTTAGAAGCTTGTTTGTATACAGAAAGAAAACAACATTTAAGTTAATATTGTTGGTACGCCCACCAAGAGTCGCCATAACGTTACCTTAGTTTGTAAAAACTACTAGTACACGCTTGCCATCAACATCTTGAACGAAGCAGGTGAATTCAGTATTGGCGCCATTTCCTCAACTTGTTAGATATAGACATTGGCGTGACAAGTAGTCCAACGGCGACAGAAAAACAGAGAACACTTAAACATGTATCAAAAGTGTCTTGGCGGCAAGCAGACCAAAAAAAAAACGGTATGTGTCGCGCCTTGCTTCAAAATAAGGAAATTTAAAGTCGTATTTCCGTGTAGTTTTATCAGGTTGGTAAATCACTGAATCAAGAGACTCTGTTTACACAGCCAAGTGTATTCACCCAACGTTTCGGTGACCATCTGTCACCTTTCTTTAGGGCTAACTATTCGTTGTTCACATTGCTTAAGTCATACAGATAAGCAAGGGATAGGTGAGGTGAGGTGAGAAAAGCTCCCTCGTGTTGTGGCAGATTTTTTTGTTTAAAATCTAGCACCATCTGTGCCACGAACCTTGCCATGTAAAACGAAAACATCGCTATAGTATGCAGTATCTCACCTGTTGAGACATGTAGTTGATTTGTCCGGGGGTCTCTCAACAAGGCAGTTCAACTCCTTGGTCTCAGTTAGTTCCTTGCTGACCGGCAGGAAAAATAACTCTTTGAAGATAAACAGAACATTGAGCGTCACCGATACAAGCAGAAGGCATTTGCTGCGCTTCATGTTGACGATAGTACATGCAGCATGTTGTGAGTCATTCAATCCAGAGGGCTGTCACAGTGCCACGGGGAGCAATACAAATATGTTTGTAGCAAGTGAGGCAGCGGTGAATCGATTTCTCCGCAAGAGAAAGTAGTGCGGAGGGGAACACGCACTTAGTGAGGAAAGTCGTGTATAAAGTGCTGTTTTAGCCTCTCTTGTCCGCTGACCTTGCTATTCGACGCCATGTCCGTAGCCGAGTGGTTGCTAATGGATGCTGCTAAAAACATAAAGTTTGGCAGGTAACAACCAGGCACCTTTAATTTTCAATCAGCTTTATGTACTGTTTGAATTCCACTGTTCTCAGAGCCGTACTTCACACAAAACTTTGGAATTTGCACCACCCGGGGCACGGTAGCAATCACACAAACACAAACATCACCTATTTAATCGTTAACTTATGTCTTAGTAGTTTCTTCCGAAAATAGTTTCATCAGGTTGGTAAAGTATAGGATACAAGTGTTCTTATCTACACAACACAGCGATAACACTTGTATCCTATCTTAATTTCTTATTATAAATTAGCTACACAACCAAAGGCCCAAACAAAGTGCTTCCTCTGCGGACGTTTATTTTGATAACCTTTAACTAATTTTGCTTGTGTAGCTTACAACCCTGACATACATGTTCATGTATATATAGATTGATGAACCAAACCTACTTAAACTACATTGTATTTTTTTACGGATTACGCACTGAATCAGAAAAAAAGTAGCAAAAGAGCCTAGGTTGTAATGTGGCATGTATATCTACATGGAATAACACCGAGGAAGTTCAATCAGATTAATCTATGTGAGAGGAATACCACAAGGAGTTTTCAGCGAACTACACGTGACAATAAGTTTTTTCTAGACGGGTTGATGGAAAAAGTAGTCCGGTCCGGAAGAAACGGCCCGAGCTCCAGCGTCGGCTAAACTCCATGGCAAACTAAAACTAATAGTCTTCTATCATGCCTTTAAAGTCAAGTAAAGAATCAGAACTTGATCTCCATGATGCAGTATTTATTGAGACCTGTGTGTCGACTCAACAGAAATGTACCCAGGACAACTAAGCATACATGCGTCGTACGAATCAATGTAAGGATAGTCAATTTATTACTACAGTAAGTACCATACATGTAGCTTAAGTTACAATTTATATAAGATTTTACACCCACTTACATGTATTCTTCATTAACAGCAGAGTTTTCCTATACTACTAGAAAGCAAACATGGGTAATTTAGGTTGATTTTATGATCATTACTTGCGTTCATGTTCCAAGCAACAGTAACATACAGTTGTCTACCATGTCCTGCACACATACATGAAATTAACATTTTTTTTGGTACCTTGTGTGTAGCCTCTACCAGGCTTCAGGGAGCAACTGGAATGAGTAGAAATTGGCCAAATAGACATATAACATACCAGGGGAGTTGGTCCACTAAATGAGTACAGTTTGGCATATTGCCTGTCTATTTGGCCATTGACGTTCTACTTTTTCCATACTTTTCTGTGTAGATTAAGACAAAACATGAAGTACATTGAACTTTTCATACTTTATATAGATACAAGAAACACCACCAAATCAGACAAGATACATGTACTATGTTCAACACACTACTGTATGTTCAATCTGTACTATCATCTTTTTTCTATATCAAATTCAAAACTGCAGATATAGAAATAGCACCTTACTAAGTTATCTAAACCTATTTCTTAAATAGACATCATAATCAAAATTAATGTTTTCTTTGAATTGGAAAAGCTATCGGTAAATTAATTAGGTGCCCCTAAAACTATACATTGTGAAAATAGTATCAATAGCAGCTACTTTTGTCATCAAAGCTTTTAATATTAATAATAACAATGTTATATTTTATGCACATTATGTATTTCTTCACAATCATGAATCCATACCTGCCTTTAGTTCTTCCTACATGTGCATGGAAAAAATTACAGTCTTGCTTGATTTTTACTATGATCAAAAAAATCATTACACCACAAATTTTCACATAGTTTACACCAGCAATTTATCGCTTAAAAACCTGCCTGGTAGTTGGGACTGCTTAGATGCTGAACATAATTTCTTATCCAGCAAACCTTTTACAAATAGACCTTATTATCGTAAGTTGTTAATCATCATTCCCCAGATAAAGATTGTTACACTTGTACTTGTACTTTCATAGTTTTTAGCCACTTGACATTGTATGTAAGGTTGCATAGGTAGTGTATAGTGGAAGGTATTATCATACATGTACATTTTGTAAGTTGGTATCTTAAAACTAAAAGAACAGTGCTGAAGGAAGTATTTTTCATTTATTGTCCAACAAGCTCTCAGTCTTGCCAAGACTCACTGTTTTAATTTCAGTACTTTGTAAAGTGGTGAGATGGTATTTACGAACTTATGGAATATTTTGTAATCACTGAAATATTACACCTTTCCCAAAAGATGAAAATTCTTAAGTCATAACAGTGTGACAGAAGAGACTGATTTCAAAATGACAACACGATAAAGTTAAGAAGGTAACACTGAATAGATGGTGTTGTTTAGTATCTTGTATTTTAGAAACAGGAATACCAGTATGTGGGTAGAACATTTCAAAGCTCAAAATATACAAATCCCTTTCTGACCATTCATTCAACTGGTAGGTCTTTTTCAATGGAGAAAATTAAAAGCACTGCATTTGACAATCATGTCCATTATCAACTCACAAACAACAATCTAGTATAACACTATACAAATAGTACGGACAATCCATTCTATAGTACAGGAAAGCCAAGAAATAATCGGGTAAAATAAATTTTATTAGATATTGATTTAGACTGCTGATCAAAGAAGTTATTTTTCGGTAAAACCATTCAAATATGAGGAAGAATAGTGTAAGTTCAATCTTAAACACAATGTTTACAAAACCATTTATGAAACAAAAAAAAGATATATTTGACAATATTTGCTGTGAAGGATTTGTTGAAGTCACATTAACTTTGGTCTAGATTGATTCCAAGAACAGAAGCATCTGCTTGCCTCCTCTCAGTCTGCTACTGTGATAAATGAAGAGGTCTAATGTCTGCTACACTTTGGACTGTACTGTAAATTTAAAGGTGCTCTTTGAACTTTAACCTTTCACCTTCTGCTGTCCCTGCGCTGTCTGTTCATGGTGGTGAGCATCAGGCTGATGTAAGAGGTCAAAAGGTCATCCATCTTGTAACCCTGTTGGAGAGATCAGATGTGTTGGTTATACACTTGTACAAAACACAATCATTATGCTTCTTTCCTTACATTCACTGTCATAAATTACGCACCAGTTTTGTACATAAAAGTACAAGCTGCGTAAGACTGGACTGTAAGGTTTGAACCACTCACACCGGGAAGGACCCCTACTCTTTTTGATAAGTGCGGTGGGTGTGGCTCTCCCAATCACGGGACCTCTATCTAACGTCCTATCCTAGGGACGTCCCTACCCAAAGCTAGGTACTCATTTACACCTGAGTGAAGTGAGGAAAGTCGTTTAAAGTGCCTTTCCCAAGGGCACAAGATCGTTGGCATCGGGCAGGATCCAAACCCAGGACCTCTTGGTCCTGAGCCGAACACACTACCATTACGCCACAGGACCCCACAAATAAACCAATAAACAGACACTGACCAGTGAAGTCTCACACAACAGCTTGCTGCCCCGCACCAGGTTTCCGATGGTCATGTGGAAGTACGTGTTGCCGCTGCTCCAGTTGGAGATCTTGGTGAAGGGGTGTGTCACCAGGCTTTCCTTCGTCTTAGGGTCAATCAGGCTGACCCCGTGTTTGTTAATGGCGATCAGAAGGATCTCTGGGTAGTTGGGTTCTGTAGTTTGCTGTTGGGGGACATGGGTGAAACAATGGTCAAAGGCTCAAAGCACAGCCAATAAATTACCTTAAGAGTTTATGTATTGTAAAGTATATTAGTACAAGCTGCCTATGACCAGACTAAT